TGAAAAACAAAAGACCGCACAGAAAAAAAATAAAGGAGAGAGAGAGAGTTGGGAGATAACCTCCCTTTCAGCCTCAATTGAAATAATTAAGTGTCAAAATGGCGCCCACTCACATGGAGTGGGGCTTGGGCGGAAATGGAAATGATTTTTCGTGAAAATTGCTTGGCAGAAGTGCGGCAGGACTTTTCCTTTGCACCGACGCTATTTGGCGACGTAAAGTGTAAACAGTTTAAAGCAATTGCTGCTGGCTCGAAGTGAAGTTCTTGCCGGGATTAGGGGAGCACTGCACTTGACACGCCCGACTTGAGAAGGGTCGTTAAATACTTAACTATTGCGTGAGTCGTTTGGGGTTTTCGCCGCACAAAGAAGATTATTCCGGTAATGAGAATCCAGATAATGCCATCCCAGGAAGTTGCGGAGTTTGGGGGAATTAAGTTAGGATTTGTGTCTCCGAGAACGCCGTAAAGTGAATTAGTGACAGTGCTGGTATTCTCTTACATTTCTTGAAAGAACTTTGCTAATAACAGAACAGCTTAATATAAGGTATTGGAAATGATTGAATGCTTTATTGTATTTACAAAACTTAAATCATTAAAGCATACATTTTAAATAAATTAATAATGGGATGGTTAGTTTGCAATTGTTTTCTAACCAGCTTATTAACTTAAGTGATTTTAGTATCTTGTTGAAAGTACTCTAGTATATGTATTAACTTATTCTTTTATTAAGCTTCCTTGGCCGAGATTTCGCAATCTAAATAATTTGCCACAAGCAAACAAGCACTCCACTCTTATGGCACAAAATAAACACTTGGATTTGGCCCCCTTGGTCCCCGTTGAACACGAAAACTTTGCCAATATACTGACAGCAGTTCCAGTTGCCAGTTTGCAGTTCGCAGTTTACAGTTTACAGTTTGCAGTTAGCAGTTTTCAGCTCTCAGTGGCCCCGCAAAATAATACCCCTCGATGCTCGACCTGTTGACCGCACGCATGCTAAAAGTGTGGTCGCACCACCCAAAAAGGTGTGGGTTCGGTGGTGCTCCGGTGACTTTGTGGCCCCGCAAAAGTTCCGGACCGGAGTTTGTTGTTCTCGGCCGTTGTTTTTGACAGAAAATTGCAGGAAAACCTGTGTGGAGAATCTCCTGCTGTGAGTTGTGAGCTGTGAGCCGGGCCAAGATGCCAGGAACCACTTCTTCTGGCCGCAACGCAGTTATGCAATCACAAAGTTGCTGCCATCGTCTTCGCCACTGATTGAAATTCCTCGGCCAGCTTTGCGTTGGCTGCCTATAATAATTTCCAGCATCATCTCGGCGAGGGGATCAAAACTTGAACCTGGATAGCTTTTATCTGAGCCATGATTATTATTATCAAAATCAGACTCCTCCTCTTCCAACGCAGCTGGATGTCTGTCATCTGCGACTAATATTTTCCCATGGCTTAATCTTATACCCTAATGGTGTTTGTTATTAGTTTGACATTCGGCGAAGTCCTTTACGAGATTTAAATTAGCTTAAGCTGACCAAACTAATACGATGACTAGCAAATAAATTTAATTTTTACATCAGATAAAACCCTTGCCTTTCAAGGGTATTTCCTACTTCTACTTCTCCTAAAAATCTATACAACTTGCTCTAATTATTGTTGTTGCTGTGGATACAATAAAGCCTTCTGCTCCTGAGCTTTTGCCCACAGGCTTGCCAATATTTTGCTTCTGCATTTATTTCAGCATTGCAATTGAGGTTTTTGATTAGTTTTTACTTCCTCATTGCAATGGGGAGCCATTGATTGCGTATTCTTATTGTTGCCGAGTTGTGAGCTGGATTGGAATGAATTTTTCCCCCTTTTAATATCTCAAGGATGTGTTGTGTATTTACAAAGGATTAGGGTAAAAAAGGCAATGATAATAAGCTGGGAAAAAGAAACTTTGTTAGCAGTTGTTATACTTTTCGTATTTCGAGTAGAACCACTTTTAAATAAACATTAAATTTTTAATTTTACTAGACTTAAAAGTGTGCTAAATTTATTTTCACAATCCTGTTTTCTTTTATTTTCTTTCACACTTTTAAAGAAAAGTTTGAATTTAAATGGTAAAAGGTTGCTAGCAGCAAAACTAAACTAACGTTTTGTAAAATGGAAAGTAGTCTACCCAATCTTTACATTTCCACAAACCCCTTTGTGTTGAATACTTTTAGGCAAAAACACATGTTAACAGCTTTTAAACTCTGTTAACAAACTTCAGATCGAAGTATTTGATTTCCCATTTCATCCATTTTAAGGACCCCCATATTTTCACTCTTCCCCAAATAAAGGTATACCATTCCTACTTCATACAATGCACCAAAGTTATGACTGTTTGCTTTGTAAGTACGTGCAGGCGACTCTCTTCTTTTGCTGATTGAATAGAATTTCAGCTGGTTTCCTGTTTGTTTGCGGTTGTTCCCAGGTAAGTGTTAGAATTTATCCTTTTTTTATTTGTTGGCCTGCCAATGGCAAGTTGAAATCCCAGTCTAGACGAAGTGGGGGTGCAAATATTTGCTGGTTGCTTAGGTTCACCTTTGCCTGTTTGCGGTTTTTTTTAAATGGATCGATTTGGCAGCCGCAGGAGTTTCCGGCCATTAGCGCGTTAAGCGACATGGAAACTAACCCTTACCAGATTAAATCAGGATTTATAATGGGGGCTTAGCGATTTTTAAATGTTAGCAAAAGTATTACAACTCCAAAAAAGGGGACCATTATTTTTCGTGGATTTCCCACCCCTTTTTCCGTGCAGCTCCGATGTCATTCATGCCTTCTTATGGCGTTTTCCCCCAAAGTTTCCTGCACTTTTCAACCCCACCATCTTGCCTTATCTTTGTGTGCTTTTGACATTTCTGCGTTCAGTTTTGTGTGACAAGTTTTCTGTGGTTCAGAGGGGCCACTTTACGGCATGTCAGCTTCATGTGCGCCACCCGCAACCCGCAAACCGGCAATCCCCTTATTTTTTTGGGGGCCTATTTCACACTTTTATAGAAAATTTTTGCCAATTGTCTGGCGACGTTTGCCTGCGTTTTTTTTTTATTTTTTTATCTCTGCTCCGGGTTTCCCTGCTCGCTGCGGAAGTTTGCGCAATTTCCAAAGCGGAAATGCAATTTTCGGTTCAGCTGCATTTGTCTCGCAGCGCCACGCCCCCTTTGCCCGCGGTCCGCCGCCAACTTGGGCGGCTTGCCAACACATCGTATATCAAATGCAGAGTTGGCAGCCCCTGACAATGACATGCAGCGAGCGTTCAGCCAAACCAGAAAAGGCCGACAGCTTTTTTGGGGCCAAAAGGGGGGAGGGGGAGGGGAAAGGGGGTTGGGCTGTTAAATGGGGTGGTTGGATTCGGAGTGGTGGGTGGTCCAATAGGTGGGGCCTTCGTAGGCCGCCAAAAAAGCCAACTCCTGGATTTCGGCCGTTGTAGCGTGTGTCACGCCTTTTGTGGCCAGATCGGAGAATATATTTCACACGCTTTTTGCTCGCTTTCTGCCAAAGCTCTTTGTGCCGAAAGTACTTTTATTTATTTGCATATAAATTATTCAATTGTTCCCTTGCTTATCTTTCTTGTTGGCTGGCTCGGCTCCTCTGACCCCCCAGCGGGGAGTCTATCAAAGTGCCGAATGCATTTGCAATTGCAATCGCAATTGATTTTTGATATCTGTGGGCGTGGCTCTGAACAATTTTTGATTTATGATACTCGATTCGGCAAAGAAAAGTTGGGCTGTATTTACAGTTGTCAGTGTCGAAATGGGCGGGGTTTAAAGAGAGTTGAATTTACTGTCTATTAATTCGCACTTAAGAATTTAGCTGACCTCACTTACTTTGCTTGGAATTTATGACTGCAAGAAGTACAGAAAATTAAGAAATATTCATAGGTCAGCAATATTTATAGATAGAGTTTTTTAGTAAATGATTCTGTGGTGTGTACGTTTTAGATTTCGATTATAGCTTTCCTAAAATTTTATTTAGTTAATATATATTTTTTCCTGATAGGTTTTTGATGCTCTGCCGAGTTTAGCCTTCCGTTTCTGTTTGACACGTGTGCTAAACGGTTTGTCTACTCGCCCTTTCCCCTCATTTTTTTCCGCCGAAGCCTTCCAAATGTCAAATGTCAACTGCAGCTTCGCAGTTCGCAGTTTGCAAAAACGTGCTCTTCGACTGGCTGCGCAAACATTTGCAAGGCTGTTATTTGGCGCCCTGCGAAAACACGCTTCAATAACATTCAAAACTCGAGACGTGCGAGGCCTTGGCTTGTCACCGAAAAATACTCGTATCTCCTAATATCTGCTGGGCGCTACATGTGTTGTAAATTTATTAGCTGTCATATAAATCTTTGCACTTGGGCACCCTCGTGCGAAACGTGTGTGCCCCGAATTCGAGGGGCGTGGCGCCTGTTCGAGGGAAGATAAGGGATTTGCTGCGAACCCTTCTACGCAAATGCGGGCATTTTTCATTTGCATATATGTTACTTAAGGAAATTCATAATTTTTATGCGATGCCTAGTCCCCCAATTTGGTACAGTCTCGACGCCGGCTGAGTTTCAGGGTTGTCACTGTCATTTGTTTAATTAATATTGCCCCTAAGCGGAGGACATTCGTATTTGAGTTAAGCATTTACTTGCAGACAGCCACATGTGTACTTTTCTTGAGGGCTTGTCAGCAATTTGCAAAGTGCTGCGTGGATTATGGCTCAGATTTTTCCTGCCCTCCCGAGTTGAAGTATACAAATCGCACTGCTCACAAATTAAAATAGATATCTAAACAAACTCCCTCTCGCATGCCAGTTTAAAATATATTTATTTGAATGCTTTAAAGCAACAAAATCTGATGTAATAGATAAAAAATTTATTGTGTTATAAAATGTAATATAATTTTATTAAATGCATTGCTTTAAATATGTTACATAAATACAATATCTTTACATAATTACTATAGCTTTATATTTTGGCACGCTTTTTCCTCCGCACTCCTTAAATTAAAATATTTTTTACCGGGTCTCCGATTGTTCCGCCTGCTTGAGGGGATTCCCCTTGTCATCGATTTCCATGGACGGAACCAAAGGGGGCTTAAATCCGTACTCCAACTGGAGGTTGCGTCCGAAATCGGGACTGCGTTTCAAGGAGTGTCCGTTGCGCCATCGCTGGAATTCATCGAACTCGTTGGTTAAGGGGGCATCCCCACTACCAGAATTTCCGGATGTTGTGGCTGGAACTGGGCCAATGTAGGACTTAATCATTTGGGCAGGAGCCGAGGCAGCAGCAGTGGCCAAATCGACGGGGAGGGTGTTGTAGATATATCTGGCTCCCTGCAACCAAGGTGAACCTTGTGGTGGCGGCGGAGGTCGAAGGTCAAATTTCATATCGGCCAAACTAAAGGTCGCCACTTTGGGGGCTTCTCCTCTAACAGGTTTTATGGGTTGTTTAGCAGTCGCCACTGGCTTGCTCTGCTTAACCGCTTTGGGGGATTGAATTGCAGGCGATTTGGCCGTCAGTTGTGGCAGCAACTTCTTTAGCATCCTGGTGTAATAATTCTGCAACACCTTTGGTGGAATATGAGCCACTGAATGCGACCAGGGAGAAAGGGCATTCGGATGACCCAGGTGGGCAAATCCCAATGAGGAATGACCTGGTGGCATTGGCATGTGAATGGCCACGGGAACATGAATTGGAATGGCCATTGGACGGTCCACGAACTTCTCCACAATCTTCTCCACATGCACGGGCTTCTCCACAATGCGTTCCACCTCCACGGGCACGTGCTTCTCCACGATCTTCTCCACCACTCTTTCCACGGGATAAGGAACGGGATGCTCGACGATTGTCTCCACGGGATAGGGACGATCCACGTAGTGCTCCACGTGAACGGGAACGGGTACAGGTTGAGGAACGGCATAGGGAACGGGTATATGCTTCTCCACCACTTGCTTGACATGGTGATCGTGATCCACGACCTTTTCCACATGGTATGGCTGCACAGGCGGGTGATCATGGTGCTCCAGGTGATGAGTCTGGGGTTCATGAACCACCTGATGCTCCTGATGGATCACCTGATGATCATGATTACTTTCTGGCAGGTGCTCTTGATGTATCACCTGATGATCATGCTGGCTTTCCGGGATGTGTACCTGATGCTCCTGGTGGATATCCTGATGCTCCTGGTGATTTTCATGATGTTGCACTGCATGCTCATGATGAGCAGGTGCATAAACTGGACCCAAGTGAACGGTTTGCTGAACAGAAGCTGGTGCAGAGGAGTGTCCCGAATGATCCGAGTCCAAATGAACAGCTGCATGTGAAATGGCCACTTCTTGGGGTGAACTATCATACTCCACGTGAATGGGATTTTTGGCCAGAGAAGCGTAGTTCTTTGGAGGATCAGCAGGAGTAGGTTGAGGCAAATGATTTTGCAAATAGGGCTGATGGTAAATGGTCTCATGCTGTTCCACCAAGCGTCCGTCCTTCTCCGTAATCAGTTTATTGTGAATATTCACCGACTTTTGTATTTCAACGAAGGTATAGGGATTTGATTTCTTGGGAGGAGGAGCGTGTTGAACGTTGTGTTGAGAAGGTTCAGCGGCTGCCTCTGCCACATAATTATGGGGAGCAGGATGATTGATGGTGACCTGAACACCTGGCTCAAGTGACGAATGAGCAATGGCAGGAGCTGGCGAGGAATGAGGAGGACTCGGAGTGTTCAGGGTGACGAAAACCAAACTATTCGGAGTGGCGGAAATGGGAGTGGGACCTGCATATCCAGAATACTGCTTCGGTGATGGCGAAGAAATTGCCTTGGTGTGCAAGACTTCCGACTGCTGTTCCGGTTCTTTCTGCACCTTTGGAATCACCTGGCTGATCTCCTGTTGGTAGGCCAACTGGGCAGCAGGTCGCACAAAAGGTCCTGGGTAGCTTTCCTCCTTCGGCGGCCTGGGATTCGGCAGCTGGGGAGGATTCTGCACTTCGTAGTGGAAACTGCCCTTCGGAAGGGGACCATTTCCACTGCCCGAAACTATGGGATTGAAGCTCTTGAGGAATTGCCTCGAAGGAGCCTCCTGAATGGGATTGTGTTGCTGGAAACGCTGCTCACTGTGCACTTGGAAGTGATCCAAGGCGTGTTGAGGTTGTTGTGGCTGGGGTTTCTCTTCGGGTGCCTGGAAATATAGTTTATTATGAACTTATATTCTGTGTATATAACCATAACCTTTACCTTAGATTCCGCCTGCTGAGGTTTCCCCAGCGACTCATCATGCACAATATGCACATTGATCTCCTGATCCTGACCAGGACCCTTCTGATTGGTATAACTTTCGATGCCATTGAAAGCAGGAGGAGGCAATCGCTGTTGGTAGGCCTCTCTGCCCAAGTGTCGCGTCTCAGCAATCTGATTGTCATCGATCTCCTGACCCTCTTCCAACTCCACTTCATGGTCACCGAGGATCACAATGGGAGAACTTTCTGCGGCCACCAGAGTTTCATTATCATCGCCCTCCGGTTGGAGAAGCAAACTGGGCAGCACAGGAGCAGCCACTGCAGCACGATTGATCCTTAGGAGTTCATCCCTCGAAATGTGATTGCTGCCATCCCGGAAACCGGGATCCCTAATCTGCTCCACCACGATCTCCGTGTGACCGGGTGCCAATTCCCGGCGATACTCCTTCGTCACGGTGGTTTGGTAGCTGTAGTAGGTGGCATTCGGAGCTGGTGGCTCAGTTTGCTTTTCAGTGGTTGCTGCCTCGGTGGTTGTGGTTATATCCACCACTGTGGGTCGAACCACCGCCTTGTTTGTGGTGGTGGCCGTTGTGGTGGCAGCCTCCGTATTTCCACTGAAGCGGAAAATATCAGAGAATCCCTTGGGGAACAAATTCGAGAGCACCTCGTTGACAGTCTCCGTTCGCGAACGAGTTATAGTCTGTTGAATGGGTCTTTGGCGACGAACCGTCTCCACTGGCAGCTCATCATTGATATCGAATTGGATGTAGCCATGTCCGTTGGTGGGACTATCCGAATCCCGGGGAGGCAGAACTGTGGGCAGAAAGCCTGGAACTCTGGGAAAGGCGAAAAAGGTTTTTCTAATGAATAATATTTAAATTATTGTAGTCATAAAATGAAATGTATATTAATTATTATTACTAAAGACAAGAGTATACTCAAATATTTCTAATTTAATATTGAATGAATGATAAAAAAAACTGCAGAAAATGTTGTTAAAGTAATGCAATTATCAAAATAATTCAGTTGAATAAAAAACTTAATCCAATGAATATTTTTTTTTAAGATTTCTAGTTATGAGTTATTTATGAGTGATTCAGCTTTAATAAGACTACTCTCCTTAAATATGTATGAGTTAACCTTAATGGATTATGAAATAAAAATTCAATAATGGTGGAATTTATATGCAGTTTTTGTTATGGTAGCTAAATCCCTTTGAATTAGTATTTCAAAGCTAAATTATTATTTTTTATGCTCTTCCCACGTAAAATGGTAATGAATTAATGCCAAATTTTTTTATTATATGACTTTTAAAGATTTTGATGTTAAGTTTAAAGCTCACTTTACTTTCATCTTTGATGTTTGACTTACCCCACAAACTCCGCTTCTTTTTCTGTAGCCAGCTCCTCCTGTATCCGCTCCCTTTCAGGTTCCCTTTCCCTTTCCAAATCCGATTCCTCTTGCATCTCGCTGGCCAAGTTTGGACCTTCGATGACCTCGCGGATGAGTTGGCCGGCTGCCTGCTTATTAAGCTGTCAAAAGCGACGCTCATTGCCTGTCAAAATCTCTCACTAAACTCGGACTCACCTCCTTGACGCCGCCGCCGTCAGTCGGGGCTTCAGTTGGAGTCGCCTCCTCCTCCGTGGAGTTCTGGCTGCGACTGAAAGTGGATGTGATTGCGGGCGTGGGACTGGTCGAGGGTGGCTCATCCGAGAGGGTTGGCTGCACGCTGATGGCCAACAGACAGCAGAGCGTGGCTGCCGCCGTTAGCAGATGTCGTTGGTGGCGGTGGGGCCACATGGAGCTGTTGCGGAAATGGCCAAAAGCAGAAAGAGTTAGCTGTTAGCTGTAGCTTTGGCTTCGGATGGGTTTTTCGTGTGCGAGCCGTGGTGTGAATAACCCCGTCGACCACGACAAATTCCAAGCGACAAATGGAGGAGTCGTCAAGCCAGTTTGGGCCCGCTTCAAAGGCCATCCAAATAGCCTCCCCCTGCACTCTTCACTCCCCTGGACTTCACTCCACTCTACTATATTGCACTGCACTGCACTCCACTCGAATCCGAGCCACTCCACTCCACTCCTGACTACTATAGCCACTCACTTGTCGGGCTGTTTGATTTTAACCGATACGGTGGATGATGATTTTTCCTAAGTGGCTGCCTTGGCACTTTGGCGCTGCGATGCGGCGCTTTTCTTTCTCTTTCGCTGGAAGAGATTTTCCCTAAAACGCTCCTCGCTTTTCCTGGCAAGTTGTTGAACTTGACGCTGCATTTGCTTGGGGCTTATGTCATTGCTACTGGCAACGTAATGAATTATTAATTAACCCCTTGCCGCCGAGCTGCCTGCACCACGCATTTAATTTGGAAAATTGAAATTGATGGCGTTTAAAATGGTTCGTACGGGTTTTCACATAGTTTGGCCGCTGCCTGTATTTTGATAGGCATTAAATATGCATGCCAAAACATATTTCACCTGCAATATTCATGGCTAAGTGGCCCGGGGCGCTTTTGAGCCGGTCCCCCGGTCTTGTTGGCCGTCTTGTTTCGGCCAAAATAACACACAAGAAAGTGGAGCTTTCTGTAGGGAAATTGTGGCTTTAATTGGGTATGGATAATGATCTTAACCGGGCTATTAAATGCCAGTCATTTCGTATTCATGTTTGCCTAAGTCCTTTTTATTGCCGTTTTACAATCAGCACTTTGTTAGTGCCTTCATCGAATTTCTCTGGACAAGTCCTTTATTGAACACCGGAATCACAAACCAATTTCATCCGCTTCTAACTCAATTTTCACATTCAAATTGTTTTCTGCTCTCCGTCCAGAGAGAAAATATTAATTTGCACAGTTAAATGGGCATTTAAAATGTTGCGATGCTTTTTGCATTTACCTGCATCCATTAAGTATTGCGCGGCGGGATTTTTATTTGGATTTTTGCGTGGGTTGGGATGCAGCGAAATGAAATGAAAACACTCAATTATTTATATTGATGGCCGGCCAATTAAAGCGCACTTATAATCACTTTTCTATTCGATTAAAACAATTGTAATTCCCCGAGCTGCGGATGGCACAAAATTCAATTTCTGCAAATATATATGTACGTATTATATATTTATTTATGTATATAAAGTCAGGTGCTGTCTTTTGCGACCCTGCCAGTTGCGCGTGCGCGTTGCGAATGAAAGTGAAACCGTCGGGCACTGAGCATTTCGTTTTCTTTTCATCGTCGTAGGTTGCAAGTTGCTGTCGTCGCCGATGTTGCTGCTGTTGCTGTTGCTGCCTCTGATGATGTTGCTGCTGCTGCTGACGATGTTGCTGCTGCGATCCTTAAAGTGTAGCACAAAACTTGTCCAGCCGGCGATTGCGCAAGCGCAGCCATCTCTTTCGCTCCTTCGTGGCAGTGACAATTTTGTTTTTATGGCTTTCTACTGCGGCTGCATTGACCCTGCCAAAAAAAAAAAAGAAACAAGCAGGCGCGGGAAAACTTCGAAACTGGTTTCGCTTGGAAATGCCAGGGCCATATGGCCAAGACCATCGTGAAGCCCTTGTCATGGCCTAAACGCCCTTTGCCACCTGTTTTCCGATCTCCGGCTCGTTGACATATAAATTTCTTGCCGCACTTCCTTGCCCCCATAACACCTAATGCAATTATCGCATTCGTTTTACACCTGCATCGGTTCGATCACCTTCGAACGCATTGTTTTCATACGCTTTTCCACCGATTTTCCCGTTCCCCGCCACCGCCAGGTATTTTCATTAATTTTTAATGAGGCGGTATTCGCTCGCCGTCCGCCGCGGCTGTTGTTGTGGAGCGTTTGACGTTTTCGGCTGATTGATTAATGTGGATGCGGTTTTGCGGGCGACGGCGATGCGGTGCACTTGTTTTTTACACAAGTCTGATTTATTAAAATGCGACTTTTTTATTTATGCTTTGGTAATTCGTTTTATTTATTGCATATTTAATGATATCGTTTTTCTTTTTTGTCTACACATGTATTTTTATGGGGAAATTATTGAGGTATTGCTTGAATTAAAATGCAAATAAATTTAAGCAGTGTTTATCTTTAAAACTATTGAAGAAACTAAAAATATCTTATAAGCGTGTGAATTTAGAGAGCCCTTTTTCTTGAAATTCTATACAATAAAAAGTGCCTTAATAAACAGCATTTAACATAAGGTGCAAAAAGCAATGGTGAATTAAATAATCATTGCAGAATTTGATTTAATTCCAAAAAAATATGTTATTGTTTCAGTTTTTTACACAAGTCAAAAATAGTTGTGGTCATAATGGTTGTTTATTCAATAGCGTGAAATGTTTTTTTTTTTAGTAAATTGTCATTTATGGTAATGAGAGATTTTTTTCAGGATTACCCACATCGTTTAGACCACAAAATATCTGTCACATTCAAAAAGTGGGGAAAGTGGGCGTTCTACCAAAGCTAATACCCCAATTACACACAGATATAGATCCAGCGATCGTTTAGGTGTGATTTATGCTCTCCATAATCGGTTAGCTTCTTTATCTGCCTGCATCTCATTACAGACATGTTGCATGCCTCATGCACACACATTTGACTTTCACCAAACGACACTGGAATGGAAAAATGGAAACTGGAACTGGGGCCGAGATCGCTTTTTCGGTTGGCATTTCCTCCGGCGTTTTCCGCAACAATTGCACCAAACCTCAAAGACAATTATGATGAAAAGCCAGGGAGAGCGATTGCATAAGCAATTCGGGCTTGGCCGAAGAAATCCGAAAAGCCCCTGAAAGCTGAACTGCGAGGAAATGCGAGCCATAAATTGCCGTGACCAGCAACTAACTTGGCTAATTTTCGCCGGATCAGCATTTGGTAAAAGTGTAACAGAAGTCCACTTCCTTCCGCCTGGGAAAGAAAAAAACTTGTCGCTGCACCAGCATTACAAAATCATCGAAAAGTTGGCAAAGGAAATCGCTGGGATTCCTTGACCGCAAGCGAAATGGGACAGAGTGAAAAAAAGAAATCGCAGAAATTGCGGAAAATCTATTAAAAGCAATTCGCTTAATTTCGTTACCGACATTGCTCATATTTACTTACTGTACTTCCCCAAAAGCGCAGTCAGCCGGATAAGGCGGCGGGGTGGCGAGGGGGCGTGGCAGTCGGCTAATTAAGTGCGCAGGGCAAACGAAATACAAGAGAGAGCGAAAAAAATGAAGGTAATTACAATCAATGGGACCAATCGGTGCGGTGGGGCCTCAGACCAAAAGCCAATTTCATGCAACAATCAATCAAAAACAATTTTTAATTTTGCGTTAACAATTTTCAGGCTGATCTGTTTTTTCTTTTATAATTTTCCGCGCTTTTGCCCGTGTTGTTGGCCTTCCTTGCGTCCATTTTAACTGTGTGAAGTAAATTGGAAAATAAAGTTAAAATTAAAATGCATTAATTGAACTGTGAAATTTCGTGCGAGCGTATTGGGGGGAATTATTGGCGCCCAACGATGTGCAATGAAAACGATTTTAATTGTCAGCGTTTTAAGCGCGTTTAAAGTCGTCAGCGATAACCGTGGACGAATGGCAAAAAGAATGCGATTGCCAATTAACCGATAGCCGAGAGATTGATTTTATAAACTCTTAGTGAACTTTTAAGAGATTCAGTCACTTGTACGATGATAAACTTCGGTTGTTTGGATAACTGCTCGCCATTGTGCAACTCCAAAGACAGCTGCACTTCCCCCAATGCTCAATTAGGAGATTTCTCCAAACATTTGCCATGGCTGGATTATTAGTAGAAAACCCACTTATCAGTTATCAGCCGACTTGCCCATTTTACGACTGCATTAGGCCCGCAATTTTATGGTCAGAGTCGGGCTCTGTATTTTGGTTCCTCAACGATGGCGCCTATCATAAGCAAATTGAAATACGAGTATGTGTGTGGCTCGAGCCTCGGCAGCTGGGGGCTCCAATTGCCAGTTTTCGTAGCCGGTTTTGGGTCTTCGTATTTGACTTTGGCCGAGGCAACAATTAAAATGAAATGCGCACAGTAATGCCAATTGGCGATTGCGGATATCTGCAGACTGGTCCACTAAAAGGGGGTTTTGCGAGGCGGAGAGTCTGCGGACTCCCATTAGTTGGGGCACCTTTCGCTGTGGCGCGTGCGTCGACATTTGCCGCAGAGTCACCGTCGCCATAACATTGCCCAACATTACAAGTTTATTCCACTCGATCACTGTTCGGGAATTTTGATTGATAAATTACACTGCAAGAATGGTGACAGAGAAACCGTTGTTTATTGGCGCCAATGATTAGGGGTATTCGAGAAGTGAGTGCATGTTTTCAAAACCATGTGCATATACCATTTTTTAGTACAATTTTTTATCCTGTTTAGCTGTGAAAATATTTTGGAACATACCGAAGTAAATGTTAAACAGGATAAATGGGATAAGTTTAAAGTTTAAACTGTTACATGGTGAGTAAAATTAAGAAGTCAATCGAACTAAAATTTTTTTTTTTATATTTTCAAGAATAGTTGCTAAATTAAACTCTCATTTGATATAGACTTCAAACGATAAGAGTAGCCTACTATCAAGTTAAAAACCTACCTTAGCTCATTAGTGAACTGTAACTATATTGAAATTCCTTTACCCCAAGCAAGATACAACTTAATGAGCTTATTCAGCAAAACCATTACACCCACCGCCCATTAGTTTCTTGCGGTGCCTGTGTGTTAATGCAAATAGCCCCACTGTACGGTACGCCCCCGTACGCTGTAATCTCGATGGCGCCTGGGCAGATCGAAGGCATTTCACTGTCATTAGCGCCAGAAACCGGGCTGGTTATCGCTGATTGTTGCGGGCACATGTGGCCGAGGCTGGTGCTTTTGGCAAACAGGTTGCCCGACTCTTTAGGCCAAAAAGTGTAGCAGCCAGGTCCACAGTGTGGCCATTGCAAACCTGTGGTGTCGATGTACTTTTGATTTCCAACTAATAAACAAGAGCCGCGCTGCCGCCGCTGTTTGAGTTTCGGTTGTTTTGGCTGCTGGTGTTGTCAACGCGGCTCTGCGAATGGTTTTGGTATTGGTATTTGGATTTTGCGATTGGGATTGGGCCAATGCACCAAACCGAACCGAGCCATAAACCGGAATCTGCTTCACACAAAACGAGCCGAGCCTGCGGTCACCCAAAAGCTGCATCCATCTGGCCTTTCCCTTTCGTTGGCACCAGATTGATATTGATGCAACTGCCACTGCCACTGCGACTGGCAGTGCAACTGCAACTGCAACTGCAGCAGCAATGTCGAATGCCAAAAATCATTGGCATTCCGCTCAGGTCGAGGTTCAGTTTTCCGATGGCCTCGTGAACCTCCACGGGGGATACAAATGTTTGGTGGAAGTGCGCAGAATGGAAAGTGTTCTTTGGCTTTGGTTCAGCTTTTGTTTTTTTAAGCAGATCTTGCAAAAAAGAAAACAAAATGAAAATATATCTGTTAAGAGAGTAGCTCATTTCTTAATAAAACTTTATATCGTTGTATAAAAAATATAATTGCTAACTTAAATGAGCATTACTTTCTTTAACAATTTTTAAAAATATAAAAAATATATTAAATAATAAACTAATTTTTTGTAGGAAAACAAATGGTTAACACCTAACACTTTCTGTTAATTAGAAGGTAGCGAATCGAGCCACAAACTAATTAAAAACTTACCATTTTACTTACCATTAACTTGTGCTGAACTTAATGGCCACTTAAGAAACATAAACAAAATGACTTTTATATCTCTCCAACACATTAGTTACTCAAGAGTATCTGGAAAGTCGACTGCTGGTTAATTTTCTCCAACTGTTTTCCACATTGCAGCTTAATGACGGGCGTTTCTGGTCGCTGATTGATTGTGTGTGTGCTTGCGTCTCCTTTTCCGAGTTTTCCCCGGGCTTTTCCGGCCCTTGAATGCATTCGACCACCCAGTTAAAGCAATTTTCGTTTTGTTGCATTTCTCTGCTTTTAAATTTTATTCCATGTTCGTTTTCATTTCTGTGTGTTGTGTGTACGGTGTTTTTGTTTTGTTTGGTTTCTGTTCGCCGCTCCGCTCGCTTTTCATTTTTATCTGCATTTTTATTTGCATTCTTCTCGGCTTGTGTTTTACTTTATGCTAAATTGGCTATTTTGTTTTGTTGCTTTGTCACTTAAACTTGTAAATTTTCTCGGCAGGCTGCCCTGCCCTCTTCTGTTCTGACCTGACCTCTCCCCGCCCCACTTCACCTGGCCAATTGCCCTGCGTTGTTGGCTTAAATGTAACAGTTTGTTGGCCGGATGGCCCGACCCTTTGCCAAGAATTCGGAGTTATTGCATTGCGTTTGGGGCAGTGAGCGGGGTCGCTTAAGAGTTAGTTTTTGATTCTGTTTTGTCGGCTTTGGGCCATATCCGCTCCCTGGCCGAAGTTTCTGGCCATCTCCGAGGCTTCGTTTAGGGCTAAAAGTGTTTTCTTGTGGTTGTTGTCGTTCTTGTTGTTGTTGTTGTTTGTTGTTTGTTGGTGGTGGTTGCTTACATTTCTCTTGGGCCTATGACTTATATAAGTAAACCGTTTCTGCTTATTGTAACACGTATTGTTGTATTTCGTATTTGTATTTGTATTTGTATTTGTAATCGTAATTGTAATTGTATGGGTTATTAGTGTCCCTACTCCCAAACATTTTGCACTACAGATGAACATTCTGTCTCTCGTATCGTAATTACTCATTGGTTTAAAATTAATTTGCCACATTCGGTTTGCGTTGCACTTAGGATCTAGTACTTTCATTAGTAATATATGTTTGTTTGTTTGTTTCTTTGTTGTTTGTTGGCTTCGTTATAAATAATATTTCGTAAATATTACCAACACAATGAATCATAAATACAGTACGCACTGACCATTCACTGGCTTAGTAATTTATTTGTTAGTTAACATGACGACGTGTTTGTTTGCTTGCTTTGTTCATACAATTCGCAATTTTTTGCTGACAATAAACCCAAGGAGCAAAATCACTAAACTCAACTATACATAGGGTACACACATACAGGTATGCCTGCGAACACACCCTTTCAATACATGTATATTCTTATTAATGGTTAATTAAACCTCAATTTAAACATATCGTTTTACAATGCCATCTGCCCTTTGCCAGAATTCTTGGAACTCGGCAAATGCAAATGTAATTCTGCTGTAGCTTAAATTGGCGTTAGGTTCTTCTAAGTATTTCTGGTTTTTACACTGATCTCTTAGCCTAACGATATATATATTTATACGTATTGCGCATAGGGATATAGAATAATCTGAAGCTTAGATCGACTAAGAAATAAATTACAAAAGCTTGGGCTTTGTACAAAAATTCTGTGGCAAGCAAGCGATTTCGCCGACTCTTTGCTGATCCATAAACTGAAATATCATACAATAGTTGGTAATCAAACTTTAAGTGTCTGTGGTCTGATATATTACATACATTATTGTTTAATTTACTCGTGGAACCGCTACATATGATATTTTAATCGCCTTTTTTGCTTTCAAACAACATTTAACACTTGTTATATTATACTTTTTTATTTTCGATTTTATCCTTTGGGTTGAGCAATTCTCTACTTGAACATTTATATACAATTATCGCTTATGTGGAGGGTCTCTCATTTGTTTTTGGGCTATAATTATGTTACGCTTGAGTTATAAAAATATTCGTAGTAAATGGAAACGATTCGTTTTTGGTCCTTTCAAACGATTGGAAAATCATAGGAAACTATAAGGTGAGATTTAATGCTTAATGGAACCCAATTCGTTTAGGTTAAAACTCTTTTGATCATTCGCTTAATTTCATTTCCCAAAATATCTTACAGTTTCTTTGCTCTGGGGCAAACTTTTCAAATGGAAGGAATTTGTTCGTGCCTGGTAAGTATTACTTCGTCTTTCGATTCTTCATTTACAATTTTAAACTATAGGTTCTTCTCCTCGTGCTTTTAGTTCTAAACATTTTCAAAATATTTAACAAAATCAGTCGCTTTCTCGATCGATCTTCTCCATCGAAAAGGAACTTAAAGTACTCGTAATAATCAACTTTTTAACAATGTTTTTTTCCAAAGAATTGTAAACTTTCCTTACGATTTTCTGTTTGGCTTTGGCATTTAAGTTAAGCGCACACTCATACACATTGACATACAGCGATAGGGTTACAGTTACCATTACAGCTACAGCTAGGGGTTACAGTAAAAATATTCGAGTAGCTTAGGGTTAAAGAGTCGATACCTTTTTTGGGGCTTCTAGAAGAGTGTTTTCTTTACGTTTTTTTTAGGGATACTGATGGGCCTGGGGTCTTAGCCTAGGGCAATTTTGATGCTTGGCTAAATCGGTTACAGATACACATACATATTGCTATATAGAGTAGTAGGTGTGTAGCATAGTCCACGTGGTAATGTCGAGTAATTGGGTAAATCCATACATATGCTTAGCCATAGGGGGTTAGGTTACATAGAACATTCGGTGTAATAAACGCGTCACTCACTCCCATAGAAATCATTCACGCAACTCTCACTCTCACACGATCTGACCTTAATCTAATGGCTCTTTCTAATTGCCATGGCTAAAACCACCAGGCTGGAAACCACCGCCCACCAGCCACGCCCCTCGGCGGGACTGCCGTTGAAGACGGGAAAGTGGATCTGCTCCGGCCGATTGAGCTCCTCCTCCTCGTCGTCGTCGTCGATGGAATTGGACAGCTGCCGATGGCGCTTGGTGAAGTTCACATTGAAGACCGCCTCGGCAACGCCACCTGGCGTCGAAACAATGAAGTAGAAGGTCCTTGGCACCCTTTCGTGCATACTGACGTAGGTCAGCCGCGCCTCCTTGCAGAACGGCGTGGGCAGGTCCTGCGAATGGGGGAAATTCAATTACACTTCCGTGCGGGATTGCCTCTCCATCAACCTTTACCTTCACTGCGTAGGCCAGCACCGTGCTGCCATATTGATTTCCCGGCGTGAAGACCCGATCTCCGTGCAACCAGCGGGCGGCATGAGCCGGCGGATTGGCGCAGAACTCCACGTTCAGGTGCAGCGGAGATCCCGGATAGGCAATAGGTGTGGAGTTCAGAGCCATCACTGTGGGAGCACCTGTAATAAGAATGAAATAACGTGGTTAGTTCGGGTCTTCCAAATTTCCGAAAATAAGTTAGCTAAAAATTGATTAAAATTCACTACATCTAGGCCTATAACTTTTTAAATTTTAATAAGATTTTAAAGTGGCATACATCAAAAAGCTTGTATTTTAATTCTGTAACCAACTACACAATCAGTTAATTTGTTTTTTTTATGATTTAACCCCTTTCGAAATTTCTAAAAAATGTTGTTTATAAATAATACATACAGAATTTGTGACCGAATTATTATTGATATTTGCTTTTCAATTTATAGTAGTGGCAAATATTGTACAGAGCAACCAATAGCAGATCAATTTGTGAGACATTTTTCTTGCCATGGCCCCCAAAAACAAGTGGGATTAACACAGCAGAATCGTTCTTGAAATCTTTACTGATTTCGCCCCTACAGTTGGCACAGCCTTGGCTCGTTAGACAGCCCCTGCAGAGAAGTTCTCGCAGCGAGATTCCCCTAAGCAAACTTCTGTAAGCCTTCTACGTAGCAGTTCACACATGCTAAGCCAATTCCGGGGCAACTGTACTGCGATGCCAAGTTTGTTTCGCCTCGCATCAGCTGCAATTAAAACCCTGGCGAAAAGTTTACGGCCACCGTTACCGCCACCGCCATCGCCAACGCCATTGCCATCAGCATTGCCATCGCCACTAATTAAAAGCGTATCACCCGACAAATGTGCCACTTACTGCCACAGCAGCCGTATAGCTCTGCAAAAACCCTACAAGGACGATCTGCACCTCTGGATAAGTAAACGCTCTGCGTGAAGTGGAGTGGATTGGAGTGGGAAAAATCAAAATAAATAGAGAACAACATGTCGTGGGGCCAAAGGAAAAGTTGGCCCAAGAACGCCGAAACTTCATTAAAAAGTTTGCGCCAAAGCGAATTTTGTGGAACTTATGTGGGCTGTGTGCCCAGAGTCGGGGATTATCTCAGTGAGATGCTAACGCCTGACGATGTTGGCCAACACTGCGACAATCCAATTAGACACATGTGCCAAACGCGCCAGCCAACCCTTTTAGCCCGCTTTTTCTCTTTTTGCCCACCTTTTGCTGTTGTTGCACAGCATATTTAATTATCGAAAGGCTCGAAATTTTGCAATTTTCCTCATCATCGCCCTTAGACAGAGACTTACGATGTACCAAAAATCGGAGGGAGGAGGTGGGGCGGTAATGGGTGGCCAAATAAACTTGTGCCGCAATGGCGACCCTGGCAAACAAAATGGTCGAAAGTGTTAAGTGCAAATGAGTGTTGGGCGGGCAGGCCAACGGCAGGCTGGCAGACACAAACAAAAACAAATCGAAGACCTCCGTTCGACACTCGCAAATTTATAACCGGAGAAGAACCCCTTTTTGCCAGGGACCTGGGCGACTAACTGTAAAATCAATTAAAGCAAGTGCGCCAGGGTTGTGTCTGCCTGCCAAATTATGCGTTCAACGCCATTTTGTCGAGCCCGGCTCGGCAATCCCCCACCACCTCATGACTCCTCTCCACCTCCTGTCCCCTGGGGAAAAAGTGTAATTTATTTGACAGCCAAAAATGATTTTTGCATGAGCCTCTTACCCAACAGCCCATTCAGTGGGCTCTCAAAGAGATTTAAATTCTATTTTGATTTGCAGCCAGTGAGCCGTGTGCAAGCATTTTACCCCACGGCCCAGGTGGATAGCAATGCGGATGTGCCCCCAAGGTCAGTGCTTTGGTCATTGGTGCGACTTTTAATTTGATTTCCACTCCGTTCACCCGAGGGCGCCAACTAGAAATGAGTTTTGAATTACCGGCAGTCGGGGAACGGCAGTGGTAATGCTTTGGATTCGCTATAAATAATATAGATTTTCAGACAATCCTTGCGTGAAATACCAATATCAGAGGGAAAAAAACCAGCTGGCGAGGACTCAATTTATGGTGAAGTATGGTGGCGAGTAAAAACAATAATAAGAGTGGAAAACAAGGGGGACGACAGGCGGTGAAAAGTTGTGTTCCCCCAAGTAAATTCAGCTCGCGAATGAATGCGAAAATTCAATTATTTTTCAGTCGTTATTATTTCCTTTCCCGCTTTCGAGGGCACTTTCCAACACTGTCTTGTTGGCCAAAAGAATGCAAACGCACTTTATGCAGTGACGGGTGAAAAAGGACAACAGCTTTCGCGGACGTGCAATCAACGGGGCGAGGTCCTGAGCTCCAAAAAGCATCCTGAGCTCCAAATAGCATCCACCACTCCTCGGCCAAAGTGTTGTAAAACGCTTTTCCCTCTTGTTGTTGATGGCTGCCTTACCTCTTCGCAAAGTTTTCGCACAAAAGGCAACTACGAAAAATTAAGTTAACTTTTTCGGGCAACGGGAATTGAGTAATTTTCAGCCGTAAAACTTTATTATTTTGGACTGCAGGACTTCGCTGCGTCCGCTCCCCTTTTCCCGTTTTCCATTGTTGTTGCAACAATTGTAGAACATGCAAAGTTGCTGTTATTGTTTAAATATTTATTTTCAGCTGTTGCAGCTGTAAATGCTGGCAGGAAAAGTTGTCTAGTGCCCGAAAGTGGGCAAAAACATGCAAATTTCATTGGGCTAACGTCGAAAAAGGAACCGCCAAAGCAACTCTTCGGGCAATGGACCAAAGCAACATGTAATTACATTAAGCCAGCCGAATTTACCAACACTTTTGAATGGTCGCAAGCACGGAAAAGGAACTTGTTCCAGAAATTGGCTTCTAAATGGGAGTGCAAAATAATTATTTAAACAAGCACACATGTTAGCTTTAAGCTAATGAGAATTAGTTGACCGTATTCACATTCTAAGTTTTTTAAATCATACTGAGCTGCTTTTATAGCAATACCAACACTACGTATTCTCCTATTTGGTTGTAAATTAAAAGCCTTTGATTCAAAAGCCTTCTCCCTGGATATTAATTTAATGGGCAATTGCAAGTGCCAAAATGCCAAGGAAATGGCGAAGTCGTTCAGATTAGAGCCAGCAATTACAGGTGAGCGGCGCCAGAAGACCTAAACAGCTTGGCAAACATGCCCGTGGGGCCAGGATTCCGACTCCAACAACTCCGACTTCGCCTTAAATTCCGGCTGAGAGTCCGGCGAATGTTATTAAGTATGCAGGGCTCGACGGAAGGGGCGCGGGTGGTAAACGCTAAGATAACAGCAATCCGACAGGCAGCAAGTGAAAATAACAATCATAATATTCAATTATGCAACGGCTGCCCGAGGAGCAAGCAGTACGGAGTGGACCTGGATCCGGATCCGGATATGGATGAGGGTAAGGGTCGGAGGAAGGCGGGGAGTTGGCAGTCCACGGAGCCTTCCATGTTTTGCTCGTGAATAATTAATAAACATTGTGTGCACTTAATGCAAAAAGCTGCAAATAAAATTACCAACCAACACGGCTCGTTGTGTACCGAAATCATTGCCGGGCGTTGGTGAAACAAAACAAAGCCAAACCAAACAACAAACGGGTCCGAGGCTCAAATTGAAATTACGTGCCCGGGCTGAGCAATCAAAGAGGGATTAGCGGGTTGTTTTTGCTTTTAGTTCGCCATTTGTCACTTGCCAATTGCCAATTGTACAGGCTCCACCTTTGGGCGCTTTTAATTGAATTTATTGTCGCCGAGGTGGTTACTGAATTATTGATTATCGCGATGACAAGTTAACCCACTGAAGGATGCGACTTTGGACCCGGTCCGAGGCTTTTCAACATTTATCTTAAGTTTCCTCGAACTTTTCGGCCCAGCCTAAGCTGATCAAAAATTAATGAGGGGCTGAGGGAGTAACAGTGTCGCTTGTATTTAGCCAAAAGGTTGCCAAACTTTGCCGAGTAATCTGGTGTTTGCGTGGTTTGCTCTGGTTTTGAAAGTCGAGGCACGCGTTCTTTGGGCGATTTTAAGACGCGCTGCCTTGCGGCGGTGAGAATTTTAAATGGAAGTGACTTGGGCTTACAGAGAAAGTAAAATATATATAGCATAAAAAGCATTTACTTAAATCAACAACTTTCAGCTGTTTGCTGCCTTATTGTTTGCCTTATTTTTGGGGGTTAAAACCATTTTTATAAAATATTGTTGGCCATTCCATTTAAGAGGTTCTCCCACTTCTATGTTTATAATCATAAGTAGCTTACTTTATTTCAGTCGCTTTCTTTGTTTTCTGTGCAACCATAAGGATCCTTGTTGAGCACACCTTTAGCATAGATTACTTTTCCTAATTGAAATCCCTTCGAGTATGTCGACTTCAAAGTCAATTGCTCGGGGACAAATGCGGTGCTCTAGAAAATCCGAAAGAGGAGAATTGGGCCATAAAAAGTGGCCAAACAAACTTTGATGCTGCGATGACCTTTAAGTGGCGAAAGGACAGAGATTGATAGATATACTCGTATATGGTGCCGGTTGAGTGCAGCTCTGGTTATATCAGGGTTATCTTTTCTCTCTCTGCCCCTTTCAGATTCTTTCTCTCCATGTGTGTGTGTGTTTGAGTGTGTGTGTTAGTGCTTGCCTAGTCGTGTAAATATCTCTAACCCAAATCTTGAAAATTTACAAAGCGCGCTTCCATGGCTGGCAACGTTGTCAACACAAATTAAGCTAGCATGTAAAGCTGAATGCAGGATACCCTCGAACCCCGCCGTAGTTTACGTATTTAAATATGCTCTTTCACTTTCAATATCAAATGAGTGGCTGGTTGGCAACTTTTGCCTGGCAGCAAGATTGCAACTTGCAGATATGCGGATACGTAGATACTTTGCCCGGGACCGGCAAACTTTGCCATCCAGATGAACGTTAGTGTGTGCTAGTGTGTGTGTGCTGGTGTGTGTGTGTAAGCATAGAACCGAACTTTGAATGAACAGCTTCGCATGAAACAGCAACCCAATTTGAGACAGTCCCCCGTTTCTCCCCCTGCAGCTATTGCAAATTGCACAAGTTGCCAAAAATCGCTTCACATGTGCCACTTAAAGTTTTCGGTTTTTGGCCCGGCT